ATTCACACAATTACAATAAACTCTTTGCAGCTCTAGCTATGGTGTCTTGAAGGTTTCCATTTTTAAAGATGTGCTCTTCCATCACTGTCAGACTGCTCTCCAAAGATAAGTTTATTAGACGTTAGCTTTTAGACTCAACTTTATTTATCCATTGGGAATATCTCAGAGAAGTGTAAACTAGTAAATCCTCATCTGCACAGCAATCTTGCCCAAAGACCATTTTTTAGACCAAAATTAAACATGCAACCCAATCAGCATTTAATGTCTCTTAAGTAATCTCTCTACTTAAGATGTTATGTTTGCACATTTTAAACCTGCAAACTCTTATGCCTATAAAGGTTCTATGAGATTTGCTCTGTAGATGTAAAAAAAATAACCATGTTTTATTGTGTTGGACCGCAGTTAAATCTTTCAATACAGACCCTGTGAGCAAGCATTATTGTAACATGTATACAAAACAACTACATGCAGATGCAATAAAAGGAGAAACAATATACTCAGACCATATAAGTATTATCAGACTGTGCTTTCTTTCAAATGTTAGGCTTTATAATGCCTGATAGGGTTAATTATGATAACCCCTTATTGTCCTAGAAATAAACCAAGACAAGACAAAACACAAGTTAGTTTTCTGCAGAAGAGGAGAGTGGACCCAGACAGAGAAGTTTACACATACAAAAGGAGGTGCAGGTTTATTGCCGGTGGTGATCAGTCACCTGTTACAGCATAGCTGGATAAGGCCAGGCTTTTCCTTAAAGGAACATTTTATTTCCCCGTTTTAAGTTAAAACAGCACAACATTCCTAGCAGGGAAAATGGCTTTAACTTAGTTCAAATAAAATGATGACATTTACATTTTTCTAACAATGCCGTTATAATTGTAAACCCAAAGCCTGCATGGTCTGGTAACAGCTATAGTGGGTGGCTTTGATGATAAAAGGAGCTTTGCAAATATGTTTATAACCCTTAATTATTTTCAGATTTCACTTCCTTATTGTTGCAAACTTGCATTATTGTTGGTAGTTATTTACAACTATTCATATTTGAATGTGCGTATATATTTACTTTCATTAATTTAAAATTAAATGTAATGATTATTATTCTAATCAAAATCATCACCAACAAATATATACTTTTATTTACAGTAAAGAATTGAGTTTAGGTATCATATTTAACAATTTTATAATTTATAATAATTTATAATTATAAGCTCAATTTATGCAGTAATGTGTTTTTTCTAAACTGTTGTGGGACAGTTTTTTTTTTTTTTTTTAACCCCAATCAATAATCCCACCATAGTAAATTTAACTACATCATCAAACTATTAATTTAAAGTTAATGTGTTTTTTCATTTTGTTTTAAATCGAACTTGAAGGAAAACAGAAAGGTGGAGGCTGAAACATTCCAAGGCAAGGCAAGGCAAGGCAAATTTATTTCTATAGCACAATTCAGTACAAAGACAATGCAAAGTGCTTTACATGATGAAAATGCAGGAAGATAAAAGCAAGTAGGAAAAAATAATAATACAATAAAGTAAAAAAATGCAGAAACAAAAAAGAATACTAAAAACAGTTGGACTAAAGAGGAACTGCAAATAAAATCCACCTTAAGAGATTCGAATAAATTAGGCCTTTTTAAATCAATTTATTAAACTCTACCAACAAAATCAACATGGTAGTAGCATAAAGGAATGGGTTGATCATTAAAGCATGATATGCTGACAGCGTTTTCCACTTTATAAGCAGACATTTTTTATTTATTCTAACTATTATCAGGCCTACAGCGTCGCTAGGCATGAACGTCTTAAAAAAAACAAAAAAACAAAAACTGCAGTTCAGTTAAAAAATACTTTATTTATCCCAAATGAAATTTTGGAATGAGTCACCAGGAACTTAATTCAGTCTCTTCAGTTGAAACTTCACTTGGCTTCAAGACACAGAAAGATGGTTCAGGATTTGCATCAAATTCTAGATTATCTAGATATCTAGAGTGTCTAAAGTAGTATTTCCTAACCTTTATTGAACCTGTGTTCCCCTTTGGACATTTTGTTTTACCATGAGTCCCTCTCTCAATCAAAAGTATTCATGACTGTCCAAAAGTGGAACGTAAAATAACCAATTATAAAATGAGCATTTAATTCTTCCGCATTTTATTCTTTCCATCTCAAATAAAAAACAAGATAAATATTTCGCCCGGAAGCTAGTAAAGAATCAAAATAAATACAAAAGAAAAATTATAGTATAAAAATGCCTCTATAAAAATTGAGCTCTTCTAAATTAATCCCATGCAATCACATATAAACTCGATAAATTGAAAACAAAAGTTATAGACAGACTGACTGCATTTATTTTACTTTGATTAGATTAGATGAGCTGTATTGATCTCACAGCGGAAAAATTCACTGGTCACATATTGGGATAGTAATTAAAGAAGGTGCAAACAAGGAGGAAAAGGTGCATTAAGAATAAACGATATATATGCAGTATATCAAGATTTCAACAGTTATGACACTTGAAAGGAAAGAGGGTATGAGAGAGGGGGGGAGATATGCAGCAAAGGTTGGCCACGTTGAGGAGTTAGGCCTCTGCACGTGCGTTGTGAACACTATCCACTGAGCCACCTGCCACCTGCTTTGATGAGCTTGGCTTCGATGTGTGTCAAAGCCGAAGGGGAACTAAAACATACAAGAGAATTTACTTTCTGGTTCAAAATAGGCTTGTTTTATTTTTTAGTTAGGTCCTCAGAAAGTAGAACAGATCCCAGCCCTATTTTATTTTACTTCCTAAGAAATAAAATATTTTCACTTTCCCCTTACAGTGCACTCGGGTACCACTAGGGGGACTCATACCCCAGGTGGGAATCATTTTGCTAAAAGGAATTAAAGTCATTTTACAAAACCAGTTAGAATATAACAATAATCAGGTCCCTCTATTGATTCTTATGGAGACTTGTTCAAACTCTTGGCACCATTGAAGGTCCAAGGTGTTAGAAATGGTTCCTTCCTCACCATCCTGCAAGTCCTAATGATGGTCAATGAGGATGGCTGCTTGTCCAGCCTTGTTCGGAACAGATATTTCATACTTTACAATTATTGCCTTAGGTGTATATATTGACGATTTCTTGAAATATGAAATCCAGCACGTATTGGTCTGACGTGACTCACTTTAAACGGTGGCTAAGAGATTTTTTTCTCTTTCATTTCATATAACTTCTGTCACTCTTATGTCAAAAAGATAAAGTAATACTTGCAAATACATTTTGGTTTTATTATCTTTTAGTTACTGAAATTTTAACCTCTTTAAGACAACCGGTGGATGTTAAGTGGGGTAATAACTCAGAATGCCACCAGTAATTTTTTTCCACTATAGACATGTTAGACATCATTGGAAAGCTTAGATTCTCCACAATTCAACCACCAAGCTCATTCAATGGACACATCGAACACCAAAGCACGATTAAAGCAGATATAGCAGCATGTCAAAATGTAAACAAACAAAGCAGCCACAGCTACATACCTTTCAAGGCATCCAGAAGCCTTTTTTATAAATCCAATCTTCGATTGTGTATACTCAATTCGTCCATAAGGGTCCACAGATTAAAAGTAATCCAGCATATTAGTAATAAAAAATTTTCCATCATGAGAAAATCGCCCATAACGTCCAGTTGTTGAAATCAGAAAAGTTAGCTGGTCGTAGCTTATTCTCAGCATCTTGCTAATATTTACTTCTAATACTCACTAATACATTTATTGGAACAGATTCATTATTTGAAGATTGATAGATTGATTGACTTTATTGATATCACAGAGGGGAAAATTACTTCTTACATCAGCTCAAATAGTCAAGGATGCCAAAGGAAGAAAAAGGTGCATGGGATATATACAGTATATACATATGACAGCTTTAAAAAACAATCATTATTGCACAAGCGATTCACACTGATATTTTTATGGATGATATGTATACTCATATATATAATTATTGCACTGGGTGTCAAATTTATAGAAAGAATTAATGCACAGGGTATCAAATAGTAATTGCACATTACTGAACAATTGCACAAGTTATTGCGGTTGTAATGTGGTATTGTAGAGTCTGGTTGCAGCAGCTTAACAGGGTGTAAAAGTCTTTGACTAAAGGAGGAGCTCAGCTCCTCTACAGTCTGGTGAAGAGGGTGGGAGGTGTTTTCCATTATGGATGTTAGCTTGGACAGCACCCTCCTCTAAGCCACTTCCTCCTCTGATTCCAGAGTGCAATGTAGGACAGAAGCAGCCTTTCTTACTAGTTTTTTTAAAGTCCCATCCTATATAACACTTTTTTTTTTTATTAAGTAGGGGTGATAGATTTTTTTTAAATTTACAACAAATACAATAATTATCCGGCATGCTATAGACTCACAAAACAAATAAAAAGCACAGTATTAATGCTTAGCAATGCATATTTGTTTCAGTAAGGGTATTTACTGTTTATTTGAATTTAGTTTGTTGGGGGAAAAATGGCAAAGAACTGTTTATGTTTATTATCAGAAAACTTAACCAGAGATAAAAAGAGCAAAAGGTCAGATCACGGTCAGCTTTAGAACAAATCATGAAAACATGCAAGCTACAATTGAGCCTCATCCCTTTACTCCAACCCTCATATTATTTGGTTCTTCAGTAATACTAAGTAAAAACAACAAAAATATCAGAATAAATCTTTTTAAACATCTCCAAACATAGTTCCAGTATAATAAGAGAGAAAATTACCTGTTGCTTTTAACAGTTTGCAATTAATAAAGCAGGTTATTATGTCTAAACACCTTCCAGAATGAACACAGCATTGGGTCAGTCAGAGGCTCCCCCTTCAGGTGACCTCTGGATATACAGACAGAAATCTTTCCAAACTTTGCTGCTGCTGTGTGATTTACATCTTTCAGCCTCTAGAGAGTGTTGTCTGTTCATAGTTCAGTAATGTTGCTTTATTCAGGAGGTCTAGAGTCAATCATTGGCAGCAATTTGGAATCTCACTCCTTTATGTGTGCAAAGGTGCCGTTCAGCTCATCAGAGTCGAAAGCTTTGTTATCCACAGCAGTTTGTTTAGTTTCTCCATCATCTTCCCTGATCTCATTGTCAGAACCTTTTCCACATTTCCTTTTATATACTTGGTAAGCTGTCAAAAACACAGCGAGAAACATGAGCTTCTAGTTAATACAGAACTGATATGTTGGAAAAACAGAAAGTATGAGTTATTCCTTCACGAGACTTACCAATCACAGCAACGAGAGCCATGGCGAGCTGGAAGATGCTGTAGATCAGAGGGAACGCAAACATGACCTCCAGTTCTTCAGCGGTGAAGGAGAGCTGGGTGATAGTGCTGCACAACTGGGCGTTCTGGAATCCTGTTTCTAGGGCAATCGTTCGACATCTG